AATCAGAATTATCATTCTTAGCTCTGATTTACATAGAATTGTTCTATAAATACAAAGAATGGAAATTATGCAAACTAATTAACTAATTCTTAGCTGTACAAAATCAATTCAAGTGTGACACGTAGACTTAACTAACATAACAAGAATGATGCGGGCTACTCTAGCTATGCAAACTGTCTTGGGCAAATTGCAATTGGTACATTCTGTTACTCCCTCTCAAGATGTATTATGGGGATTAATAACAGACATCATAGTCATTAATGGAAACAAGAGTGATACAAGCAAAGCCTTGGCGAAAATGTATGCCAACTCATGATAAGTGCGAATAGGTAGCAGCTTGATGAAATCGTCAGTGATCTTGTCTCGAACAAAATGGTTATATATCTCTATGTGTTTAGTATGCTCATGAAAGATGGGATTAGAGGCAATGTGAATTGCCACTTGAATGTCATAGAAGATCAAAGCATGAACATCAGTGAAAACCTCAAAGTGTCGAAGTAGTTGATTAAGCCGAACAAGTTCACTAGCTGTAGAGGCTAATGCACGGTATTTTGCTTTAGCCGAAGATTTGGACAAGGTAGTTTGTTTCTTAGCTTTCCATGATACTAGTAGATCACCAAGGAAGACACAAAACATGTGACAAATTTCCTCAATTCAATGCATGACCCTCAATCTGCATCTGCAAATGCTCGAAATTGGAAGGAAGAATGTGCTGGAAATAGGAGACCTTGGCCTGGAGTAGCCTTAATGTAATGTAAGAGATGATGAATAGCATTAAGATTGGGCTGCTTGGGTTGAGAAACAAACTGACTCAACTTGTAAACTGCAAATGTAATATCATGCCTAGAAATGGTCAAGTAAAGTAAATGACCAACTAACCTTCTATACATTGAAGCATCAGCAAGGGCCCTTCGAAAAAATTGAGAAGAATCTTGGAATCCATAGGTAATAGAGCAGGTTTAGAAAATAGAAACCCAATTTTCCCAAGTAGTTGAAGTGCATAATGACATTGAGATAGGAAAATTCCTTTGTGTGATCTGCCAATTTCTAAACCAATGAAGTACTTTAACTGTCCAAAGTCCTTAAGTCTGAACTGGCTGTGCAGGACCTTTGAAAGTTGATTGCCCGATGATCTTACCTAGAGATGATTATGTTATCAACATAGAGTAAGAATGCCACAAAGGTTCTTTCAGAACCTTTAGTGAATAAAGAGTAATCAGATTTTAATTATTGAAAACCATAGACGATGAGGGCATTAGAGAATTTCGAGAACTACTGCTTTGAAGCTTGTTGGAGGGCATAAATGGATTTATGGAGTTTACACACCAGGTATTCTACCTGTGTACCAGAGTTAGGATGATTTTTTATCCCAAAGGTAAGTCCATATAGATTTCTTCGAAGAGGTTTCCATTGAGAAACGCATTGTTGACATCTAGCTGAGTGATATGCCATTTATAAATGACTACAATAGCGAGAAGAACCTTGATTGTAATTAACTTGGTAACATGAGAGAAAGTCTAAATAAAATCAAATTTTTTTTGTTGAGTGTACCCCTTTGCCACTAAACGAGTTGTGTATCTGTGTATGCTACCGTCTGATCTATACTTAATTTTATATATCCACTTGTAGCCTATGGAATGTTTGTCCTTAGGTAGTTTTATAACTCACCAAGTCTTATTCATTTGCATGGCATTCAATTTAGTATCCATAGCTTATCTCCAATGATCAAATTTCATAATTTGATGATAAAATTGTGGTTCAAAGTTAGAAGATACAGTTAAAGGATAATCACAGTGTGAAGGAAAAAAAAGCTTTATAAGATATATATATTTATTCAGGGGTAAAAAGAAGTGTTAGGAGGTGGCTATGTATTTGTTAAAAGATTACAATGAAAATCTCTAAGATATGAATGAGCATTGCTGATCCTTATAGATCTTCTAGGAGCACAAGGTATTGAGGAGTGGATAATTGATCTTGAAAGTGATAAGGAGGCAAATCATTTGGACTATTTGCAGTCTCATTAGGTACTACATGAAGTGCTCTACAAGGTGAAATGTAGCTGGAAATGTCCAGTGCAAGTTTAGGTAATACAATGTTAGGAAATGGATCAAAAATGTCAGATGTATGACGAATAGATTGAAATGGAAACATCTGTTTATGAAAAACATCTCTGGAAATCAAGAAAGACTTGGAAACAATGTCATATAGTTTATAGCCCTTGATGCCCGGTACATTACCAACAAACACATAAGCTTTGGCTCTTAGGTGAAATTTTGATCTATGTGAAGGTAAAGTTGATGCAAAACATAGACATCCAAACACTTTAAGAATGTTATAGTCCACTGGAGAATTGTAGAGTACATAGAAAGGAGTTTTCTTTTGTAAAATGGATGAAGTGTTCTATTGATAAGAAATGTGGAAATAAAGACACATTCTCCGCAAAACTAAATAGGAAATTAAGTTTGATAATACAAAGCTCTATCCACATTGAGAAGATGTTGATGCTTTCTCTCAACCACTGAATTTTGTTCAGGCCTCTCTATACGTGAGAATTGGAGAATATTCTATATAATATAAATCTAATGTAATTGATCTTTCAACACATCTAACTTNGATGTTGATGCTTTCTCTCAACCACTGAATTTAGTTCAGGCCGCTCTATACGTGAGAATTCGTGAATATTCTATATATTATAAATCAAATGTAATTGATCTTTCAACACATCTAACTTCTGAAAAGATAAATGGCCAAGCCTCTGATGCCAAGTGTGAGCAGTCACATTATTTCCTGTACATATATGCAAACATTCTTGATGAATTGCAACTATTTTGTACTGAATCAGCATTCATTATGTACAAATCAACCACTCTTTTACACTTTCCAATCATCCTCAAGATGTGCAGGTTCTGGATAATGTATGAATAAGTGAGAA